ATATATGCAGTTCGCAACAGACACACCTAAAACACAATGATACAGAAACACTGAGAGTAAAAAGAAAGATAAACACACCAAATGTAACCAATATAAAGTTGCTACCTCTAAGTTAATATCAAATAAAGTAAGACAAAAAAGCCAAAACCACAGTTACAAAGGAATACTTCGAGTTATAAAATATTCAGTTCACAGGAAGGAACAACAATTCCTTATTCTATTAACATAGCTTCAAAACACAGAAATCAAGATACTAAAAGAATTACATGAAGAAATAAACATATCCACAATCATGGTGAGATATTCTAACATTCTACTCTCCTTAACCGACAGAGCAAGCAAACCAAAAATGAGCAAGGCTTTGGATGAGTTGAAGCAAATAATCAGCAAGCTTGATATAAATGGACAAATACAGAACAGTGCATGTAATGCCTGCCGAATATACACTTCTTTCAAACATACACAGAAGATTTGTTTTTGGAAATTCAGAAAGGCACTTCTAAATAACCAGGGGTCAAAGAAGAAATCACAATGAGAATTCGACAACAGTTTGGATTAAATGCTAAAGAAAGTACCACATGTCGATGGCTGGGAAGCAACTAAAAAGCAACACTCAGAAATTTCTGACTTTGGAAACCTCTACTAGAAAAGAAGAAAATCTGAAAAAGCCAAACATCTACCTCAGAAAGATTGGCAAGTTAGGCTCAAATAAAGTAGAAAGAAGGAAATAATAAATAAGAGAGCAAAAAAAAATATTGAAATAGTGCTCGCTTCGGCAGCACATATACTAAAATTGGAACGATACAGAGAAGATTAGCATGGCCCCTGCGCAAGGATGACACCCAAATTCGTGAAGCATTTCATTTTTTTAGAAATAGACTCATGGACAGAGAATACAGACTTGTGGTTATGGGGGGGGTAGAGGGTGGGAAGGGATAGACTGGGATTTCAAAATTGTAGAATAGATAAACAAGATTACACTGTATAGCACAGGGAAATATACACAAAATGTTATGATAAATCACAGAGAAAAAAATGTGACAATGAGTGTGTATATGTCCATGAATGACTGAAAAATTGTGCTGAACATGCTGAACACTGGAATTTGACACAACACTGTAAAATGATTATGAATCAATAAAAAATGTAAAAAAAAATTGAAATAGGAAACAGACACTCTAAAGGATCATCGAAAACAAAATTTGTTTTATCTTCTTAAAAAAACTAAAATATGTAAACTCATTACAGGGAATTGAAAAAAACATAAGGAGGCATAAATCACCAAAGTCAGGAATGTTGCATGCATCACTTGAACCTTAAGGCTATTAAAGAAGTAATAAGAAAATATACGTGAATAATTTTGTGCCACTAAAGTTGAAAATTTAGAGGAAATAAGCAAGTTCTTAGAATGCAACATACAGAAACTGACACAATGAAAAACAGAAAATTCTAAACCATTCTATAATGCCAATTTTTCATTTTCACTTTACTCCCTATTGGGCCAACGAATAGGAAGAGACCCCAACTTATCTTGTGAAACAGCATAAATATTTCCCCCTAACCTGACAATGATAAAAGAAAGAAAGAAAAATCACAGCTAGTCTCACTCATGAAAATAAATGCCAGAAAAGTCCAGCCTCCAGGGTGGTGGGCAGTCCCCAGGGTGGCCCTGGAAGATCTCTGCTTCCAAGTAGTCACACCTCTGTGTAGCCCCTTCCATCCTGGCCTGTGTGACCAACAGCACAGAGCAGAAACCCCTTCCCACATCGGTCTGTGTGGCCAATACGCAAACAGCATTGGTCACTTCTGAGATTGCTAGCAAATACACTGTGGCTGTCTTCTTGGTGACACCTTCTCTCTCAGATGACTTGCTCTGGGAAAGCCTACTGCCATGTTGTGAGTGGCGAAGCCATGGAGAGCCATGTGGGGAGGAACTAAAGCCAACAGGCACATCAGTGAGCTAGGTCAGCCCCAGTCAAGCCTTCCACTCATCACAGTTACTTTTCATTAAATACGTTAATGTTGGGTGGGGTGATGATGCTTATTTTTAACGACTTTATAAATATATATTTTTAGATTTTCTCAGCGTTAATTTCTAATATGGTAATAGGAATAGATACAACTCACATAAACAAAAGTTCTTTGGGGTCCTCAATAATTTCTAAGAGTGTAAAGGGTCCTGAAACCAAAAAGATCAAGAATATGTTGGCCTAAGTTCTAAGCAATTGCTGTGGTTGTTAAACTTCCATAATAGAGATGAGCCCTGACCAGGATACACAATACAACACAGGGAAGAGAGCCAGCATTTTATCACTATAAATGAAATACAAACCTCTAAAACTTGTGAATCACTATGTTGTACACCTGAAACTTATCTAGTATTGTACATCAACTCTACCTCAATTTAAAAACAATTTTTAATAATAAAATTTTAAATAATTATATAGATGAGCTTCAAATTAGCACATTTCATTACTTATCCTTTAATAAAAAATCACATTCTAAGTGCAAGTTAATCTGAAAAACTCATGGGCACAGCTGGTTCCCAGCAAATACCTGGCTTAGGACATAGGTTCCTTTCAAGAGTAAGCTTGCAGCCAGAGGTAAGTTTATAACATCCAGAATTGCTCAAGCTGGCTTAGGGAGCAGTTTGTGTCTCAAACCCCGTGGGGTACCTAGTCCTCCACTTAAACAATAGATATGAAATAAACACTAACAGCACAGTGATTTCAAAGATGAAGAAACCAAGTTTCAGTTACTTCAGTTCTGTCATTAGTGGGACGACTTTTAAGATTTTCATAGGTATTTTAAATTTAAAACAACAGAACAGTGCAAACTGCCAAGTATATTTTGTTTGGTCAGTGTTGAATTTACCACTTATGGATTAATTCATACATAAAATGTTTTATGCACGTTGAATACCTTTTTAAATTATAGTTTATTTTTAATTGTCTTCAAATGAAAGAAAAAAAGAAAATAACTTATTACTGACTATTCCATACAATTACTGAAAATAATTGTCCTATTGAAGGGGGGAAACACTAAAAAATGATCAGCTGATGATGTCAAATACGCTAGAGGCATAACTTCTCCACGAGGTCAGGACAGCTGTATTCTCAGTACCTAGTAAGATGCCTCGCACACAGTAGGATTATCTAACTTTTGCGGAATGAATATTATTGATAAAATGTCCCACACAATCAAAAAAGCATTGGCTTTATCCTCAATTGGAACTGGATTCCAACCTGCTCCTTCCAACGTAGCCCTTGGGCAACCTCCATTCTCCTTTTCCACAACTCTAAGGTGGACATAATTCTTCAAAGAATTGTATGCTGTGAACAGTCAACAATCTAGAACTCAGCCTATACATAAGTGCTCCATAGTGGATGAAATGAAATGAATTTACCAACTAGTATTTACTGAGTTAAGTTCATGGGACTATAAAGATCATTTTCTGGGTGTGTGAGAGTAAACTAGCCTTATCTTAGAGGACAAAAGTCAGAAAGACCTATTTCAAAATCAGACACTTTTTTATTAAAAAAGAAAGAAAGAAAAGTAAAAGGGCACAGAAAAGTTTAAAAGACGTTTCATCGGAGGAAGAAAAGTTAGTTCCCCAAGATCACAGAGGCCAGCAGCCTTAAGATCTTAAGAGATACAAACATAGCAACAACATCGATTAAAACCCAGACCTTTTGTTCACAATTCCGGCTGGCTATACGTGAAGGGAGTCAGGTTTGACGAAGACTTGCCGGGTTTTAATTCGTTGGCACCAGTTCTAAGCCTGGTGCCAGGACTCCTCGTCACTCATTAAGGAATGTGGGGTGAGAGAATGTTGGGGAAGGTGCTGGAATGGAAGCCTTAGCCAGGGACTTTCGGTGGACGCAAGGGCTGCCTCGCTCCCCTCGCTCCGCCACAACATCTCCGTACCATGCATTTTTATGTTCAGAAACCATCATCTCACCAACATGTTTTCGCACTGTCGGAAGAGGTCTTCTTGCTAGTGTTAAATGATAGTTCTAGTTTTAAAAAGTACAAAGAAAGCAAACTTTGGGGATAAAAAGGCACAAAATGTATTTCTGATCCTTCTTCCTGGTTTATAAAAATTAAATGAGCCTTCCAAGTCTACTTTCGCCCCGGTTAATTATTATGCTACTCCTTCGAGGCTCTTCAGCGCCCACAGCCACGTAACGGACGCTCACCCTGCCTCGCGAGTGTGATCTGGACCTGGAAACCTGCTCTCCAAAATCCCTGACGTCAAAGCTCCGGCTGTTTTCTGAAAGCTGTGGAAGGGACAAAGTGGTGACTTCCCGACTACCCAGAGCCCGCGGCCCCCGCGGGGGGGTGGGGGGACCCACTTCACTGGGGACCTGCATCCGCAGTCCTGGTCACAGCCTGCGGGTGCCAGGCCGCCCTGCCACGCTCGGCACCACCGCGCTCACACTCCAGGCACGAGAGGCAACCTGCACTTCGAAACTGGAAAACCAGTGTTCGCTGGAGCGCAGCGCTAGGGAACGAGCTGGGGCTCTCAATAGTGTCCCCAGGCGCCGTCTCCTTCCCTCTCCCCACCTACGTGGGGGACCGGTTGGACTTAATTTAGAGATCGGCTGGCGCCCGCCGCTCCCGCACCCGGCCGCTCCCCGATCGCACGCCTGGCGGGCCAAGTTTCACTTCTCACTTTTCTCTGCTCACGGGACACTTACCCGCACGATGTCATCCCGAATCCCGCCGCCTTGGACGTTCCGGGCTGGTGGAGCCGGGCGCAGCCACCCTGCCGATTGCCCAGCTCTGGCACTAACCTAGGCAAATTCTCCAGGATGGAGGAAGCCTCGAGAGCTTGGGTCGGTCCCCCTCCACGTCACCACCTACCCCCGCCCACCTTCTTGCTTTAGTAGGTGTGCGCCACGCGGCGCCAATCGGTCCCAGCATCTTTGTCGTCGTTTGGGGATGACCGAACCTCCCGGCCGAACGGACCTGCAACTGGCCCACGGCCCTGAGAAGCCGAGAAGGTGACAGTAATGACCACAGCCCCTGCTTATGATACTAGGTACCAGCTTGGGGCTCAGTTTTATTTACGCCACTTACTCGTCACAAGAGCCCTAAGAGGTGAGTACTGGGCCCCACTTTTAGGACTGGGAAGCTGAGGCAAATGGCGTGATCTGCTAGTAAGCGGAAGATCTGGAATTTGAACCGCGTCTGGGTGACGCGGCAGCCCCCGGCGAAGGGAGCATTTTCTGTCCCTCGGGGGTGGAGCCCCCAAGCCGGCCAGACTCCACTGCGTCGGTGGTCCGATGGACAGAAGGGGCTTCTCTGCGGAGGACCGCGTGGACTCGCCGTATCACACGACCGCATCCGCGCTCCCCTTCTCCAGCCCCGGGCGTCAGCCCCCCGGCTGCTGAAGCCCGTCCTGGCTCCGCGCTTTAAACGCGGTGCGCCCAGCTCGAGGGCGGCAATCCTGCGCCCGCACTTCTCTCCAGATCTTCCAGCTGCCGTTTGGGACCTCTTCTTCTCTTCGGTGGGTGAACGGAGTTTCCCTCTCCACCTTACAGAACAGCCAAATCCCCGCGCCCACCTCTAGCCTCCCTGCCACCGCGGCCTCTCGCTTTCTGTCGAAACCGTATCCACTTGTCCACGAGCCTCACCCACTTCCCAACACCTCACTCTTGGGTTCTCCAAGTTCCGTCTTTGCCTCGCCTCCACCCCGTTCTTCATCCCACACCCCACTGGAACTGTTTTGGCAAAAGACGCGGGGAGGAAAACTGGAGTGGGTTGAATCCCTCTAAGAGATCTCTACAGCCACTGAATGACTCTGTGTCTGAACGAGTCTGGTGAGTTTCAGATGAAATGAGCCTTTGCAGGAACCTTTTCATAAGCTAGGTGGGGTGACCAGCAGCTTCCTGTGGTTCATCGCAAAGTATGATTGTATTGCTTTTACTATGACCCAGCTCAAGTCACAAACATAACATTGTTTTAAACTAGACAAAAGATGGCATTCAGAAAGCTTGCAAAATGACCTATGTTTCTACGTGTACAGCACGCACTAAATTACACCTTCCGGTGTTCCAAAAGGGATTTAAGACAGACATATAAAAACAGAATGTAGTGTAAATAAAAGAAAAATGACAATCAATCAAACCAAATAAGGCTGGAAAGAGAGTAGAAAAAATGCCAGAGGGGTCAACAGTTTTGGTGCAGGTGAGTCCCAAATTCAGCTCTGAGCTTCTCAGCCACCAGAACAGAGAAAACCTGCTGGAGGGAGCTCTGAAGTAGCTGTTATAGATAACCAGTTTCTAGGAACAGCTCCAAAAGGGATGTTATGCTTTCCTAGACAAGACTAATCAGCAAAGCGTTGTACTCCTTGCCATGTACATGTAGTAAAAAGACCACATTGCTTACCAATTACCTCCTCAATTCAGCAAAGCTGTGAGCCACTTCACAGATGTGGCCACCCAGCCTGTGAAAGATTTCATGACTTGTTAAAGTTCTGCAGCCAGCCGTGAGCTAGGACTTGCACCCAGGAGTTGTGCCTCAAGGCCAATGCTGACTCCATTGTACCGCCACCTCCTCCCACCCAGGTCTGTCTAAGCGGGGAGCTCTTCTTGTGACTTGGAAATGGGACAGGGTTAATTCAGACATAACTCCTGCCTCACAGAAGTGTTGTGACCTATGATTTCGGTTCCAAAGTAAATTCTCTGTGATTGGAAGAAAGGGAAAGTTAGCTAAGTGAGGCTGGTTAGCCAGGAGCTTGAACACCAGTTCTCCACAGCAAAGCCTGGCTCTGGTCCCTGGGTGTTTAGACCTAGAGCCAAGCAGAGTTCGCTGCTGCCCTGAGAGGTAGAAAAGAAATGGCCCCTCCAGCCTACCTGGAGCCCTGACAGGTGGCCAGGTCTGTGCACATCTTACTCCAGGTGCTGTCTGGGCCAGCCGGAGGGTCACCTCTCCTATGATGAAGTACTTCAGGCTTTTTCACTGTGGTTGCTTACTATTTCACCCCTGTGACAAGACCGCCACTACTCCATGGCTGTGGGCTGATTTCTGGCCATCGCTTTGACAAATCGGTAAGTTCTTCAGTGATTTGAACTTCCTCTGTTCTTGGTTATTCCAGCCACTCCCAGTGCCCAGGGCACCCACCTCTGTCACTAGTGTCACTGGGCCAAAGACTGAAATCTTTGTCTTTGACAGTCAGGCTCTTGTCTACCTGTCCTTTGTGAGAGAAGGTTCCAGTGGCCCACAAGGAATTCAGATGCGCCCAGAAGATTCTGGTGCCATATCTAAACCTTCTGATGTTCTGGGAAGACTGATTAAGCCAGCTTTGTGTCCTGGTCCAGTGCTCTCAGCCAAAAGGACGGGTCCTCAGGGAAGAAGTTGAATGATTTCCTTTTTTTCAATTGAAATATAGCTGATGTACAATATTACGTTAGTTTCAGGTGTACTGCTTATTCATTTTATAACTGGAGGTTTCCCCTACACCTCCTTCACCTCCCAAACCCTTTCCTCTGGCAACCACCCATTTGTTCTCTGTATCTGAGTCTGTTTTTGTTTTGTTTTGTTTTTTAGATTCCACAAATAAGTGGGCTCATATGATATTTGTCTTTGTCTGTCTGACTTCTTTCACTGAAGCATAATACCCTCTAGATCCATCCATGTTGTTGCAGATGGCAAGATTTTTTTCTGGCTGGGTAATATTCCAGTGTGTATATATGCCACATCTTTATCCATTTGTCTATGGATGGACACCTAGGAAAGTCAAGTGATTTCTGACACCCTACCAAGGTGCTCATGCCTGTTAGCCCCATCTTAGTTCCAGAGGGGTGGGACCATGTCCTATTTATTTTTCTACTCCAGAGCTTGGCCCACCGGTACAGAGTAGACACTATTTATTGACTGACCAAGTGGATGATTGCCTTGAGTAGTGGAATTGTTTTCTCACCCAGATAGTCACTAGCCCTTTCTCCTCCCCAAATCCATTCCTTGCTGATGCTCAAAAAAAAATGTATGTTGAAAGAAAAATGGAGTTGGAAGCCAGCTATTCAGAGGACTGAAGGAGCAGGGACAAAACACCCTGGTGTTGGTTTGCAAACTGGCCCCTGTACAAAGAGGACTGAAGAAAGAGGTAGCCTGTTCCAGATTGGTAGGTGGCTGTTTTAATAAGCAAGGGAACTTAAGAGGCTTGTCTTGATTGCCTGGATCCAGCTTGGGGGTCAACCAGCAGTCGTGTCCTCTTGATTACCTCACCTGGCTTGTCATAACCTCAAGGGAAAAGGAAGTGGTATTCTTTGCTCGAAAATAAGAATTAAGCTATAGATGGTGGAGGGTTAGGCCCACAAGGAGGGAAGGTCCTAAACAGACTGTGCTAGGACCTCGGTGAGCCTCAAATGTCATTCAAGCTTCCACATGCTATTCCTTCTCCCCCAAAGACTCCTCCAAACCTCCATACTTGTTGTGTCTGGCTTTTAATGTTCAGTCTCTAGCTCAATGTCACTTCCTCAAAGAGGCCTTTTCCAGACGGGACCAAGTCAAATTCCTCTTTTGGTGTTCTTATAGCACCCAGTACTTTGTGGTCACCATCACGTTTGGAGTTTGTAATTTATATTAATATGTGCATGCATGTGTGTTCGTGTGTGTGTGTGTGTGTGTGTGTGTGTGTGTGTGTGTTTGCTGCCTGTTTCCCACGTTCCCTGAAACAAGGAGCAGTACCCCTTCTGTTTCACTCTCCAGTGTATCCCTAGCATAGAGCATAGGGGCTGGCTCATAGTTAATATTCAAAACCTATCTGATGGAGAAAGGAATAAATGAATTTTGTTCTACTCACTTGATGCTCAGAACTATCTTGCACCTTCAGTGTTGCATTTGTCTCATTTTCACATGAGGAAAGTGAAACTCAGAGACGTGTGGGAGGACGCCAAGGGGTTGGAGCCAGGTCTGCTGGATCTAAAGCCCTGCCGCTCCTCTGCTGCCTGCCTATAGAGGAGGGGGCCAGGTTAGTGAGGATGGGAGAGACGCAGAAGACACAGAAAGTGAGGAAGGACCAAGTCTGGAACAGCGAGGCAAGGACGGAAGTAGACGGTACTGCCCTGCTGGCTTCAGCTTGCCCCTGGGGTCAAGGAGTGTGTCACTGATGAGGACCAAGGCAAACGGGGACACAGACTTGAAAGGCTGCAGATTCCTTCTCGGTTGTCTTCTGAACTGTCTTGCTGCCTTCAAGAGGCAGTAGAGTGTGCTAATTAAAAGGTCAACTCCAGAGCCGGGCTCTGCTCCTGCCCGCTCCCTGCTGTGTGCCCTGGTACCAGTTATTTAACATCTCCGTGCCTCCATGTAGCCTCAGTTGTAAAAATGTAGCTGATAATAGCACCCACCTCATGAGATTCCTTTAAGAATTAAGCACATGTAAAGAGCTTCAAACAGTGCCTGGGAAGTGACACGCCATAGTAAGTGTTGGCAAACACGATTTGAAGGGCAGCTTTTGTGCTCTGAAGTCTCTTTGTAATTACCACAAATTAAATGACTTCACAATTTCAATTAGAGTTTAAATTAATATTAAATTTAAGGAAGTCACGAGTGCAAACTCCCTATTCAATGACAAGATCTTATTATTTGTGGTGAAATTAAAAAAAATTTTTTTCAGGCCTTCGTTTTGGGGTGGGGGCAGCAATTAGATTTATTGATTTATTTAACGGAGGTACTGGGGATTGAACCTAGGACGTTATGCATGCTAAACATGCACTCTACCACTGAGCTATACACCCCCAGCCCTGCCCTGCAAATAAATTCTTGGTTCCAATACATCACTCCCCATACTAGAGTTCTGCGTCAGTTGACTTGCTTGCCATGGCTCTTGCTTTGGCCAAGGGGATGTTGGCAGAGGCTGAAATATGTTTGCGTGGATTGGCTTTTTCTCCTGAGCTCCAGTGATCTGCCGTTAGAAGAACACGGGCCAGGTAACTATTGCCCCTTCAGTCTTGACTCCAGAAGAAAACCCAGAAAGGGGATCCAAACGGGTCCCATGGCCCAGAGCCAAGCCTAGCTGACCAGCAGACAATAGACCACAATCACCTAGCCAAGCCCAGCTTAGGTCTAATGAACCATAGTTGATCTTTGGACCCACAATCTTGAGAATAACTGCTTGTAAGCATTGCTAGGATGGTTTTTTTTTATACAGCATTATTGTGACAAAAGTCAGCTAAGATGTATTTCTTTTTTTTAATATTTTTTATTGATTTATAATCATTTTACAATGTTGTGTCAAATTCCAGTGTTCAGCATAATTTTTCAGTCATTCATGGACATATACACACTCATTGTCACA